TAAGTTTCTCTAGATTGGCAACAAATCCACTATTCTGCTGTTTCAAATGTAAACAAACAATGGCCGCCATCAAAAACATTATTAGGCTTAGCGGCACTTAAACAACTTTAAAATTGTGGATAATTCTAAAAATATTGCCTACAGATTTACTAAAGGCATAAAAACCTTAACGGGAAGATAAGAACAACATAATTCAATCATTTTTAAAGCAAAAAATGTACAATTTACAACATATAAAAGTAAAGAAACTGAGATCACTGCGCTGGGTAACAGAGCGGATATATATATATAAATATATTTATATACGTTTGGTATTTTGCAACCAAAATACAAGGTGCACATCTACATGTATTAGCGGTCCTATATACAAAATTTCAACGTTCTGAGGCTACTCGTTTTTGAGTTATGCGAGATACGTACGTACGTACATACGTTCGTACAGACGCCACGAAAAATTCTCTTCAGAATTCATTTTAAAGCAGTTTTATAATTTTTTTTGGAGGAAAAGAATCTTTTATTCTGTCCTTACGTACAGATATCAGGCAAAAACATCGTTAAATTTCATTCGATAACGGTCAAAATGGATATTTTCATTACAATACAGTACTTACTTTTTACTTCGTACAAGGAAGTAAAAAGCAAATATCTGTGATTAGATTGAATTTTTCTTCAGATTTTGATTTAAAAAAAGAACTGAAAAAAGTACGTTCGATTTTGTGCAGGGCAAACACATCATATTTTTCATTACGAAAATGGTTTATAATTTCTTATTAATAGATGTTACAGTTCAGAAAGACGAAGATTAGTAAGTTTATGCTTCCAAAATATTCCTTGGTAAATACATCACTTAAACAGACAAAAAAAAATAGCTGATAAACAGACAATAACTTAAATATTTTCACTTAATACCAATAACAAATTAAATAAGCCATTTTCTCTCTCTTTCCAGCATGCCTTCGTTGTGTAACGGGAAGCATACTCGGCGCGTATTCGATAGGTTCAGGTTTGTGTCCCAGGGAGGGCATTGCTCGTTTTTCATGTCTCCAGCTCCAAAAAATTAAAAAAGTCCTAATGTCTCTACAGTAGCGCCTAAACTAAAAGGTGGTGGATGATGATTCTTCACCACCAGTATTTAGTGATTGGGTCCCCTAATCCTCAGTCGCCCTTTAAAATGGGGAGTATTTCTTTCTCCTTTCTGCATGTCTTCGTGGTGTAATAAGTAGCATGCGCGGCGCTTATTCGAGAGGTCCAAGTTTGAGTCCCGGCGAAGGTATTGCTCATTTTTCATGTACTCCTGCTTCAAAATAACCTAAAGACTCTACAAACCAATGATGATTTCTGAAGCCATAATTAATACTTTATTGCCATTTTTCAGCAACACGATCTGAAATTTAATTCACCTTTTTAAATTTAACAGCGTTATTTAATTTTTTTATCAACTTCAGGTATAATTTTACAGAGTACTTGTTTAAATCTGATATTTTGTATCACATTTCTAATTAGAAATTCTAATAATTACTAATAATAGATTAAAATAATAATATAATAATATAATAACTTAAATAATTAAAGCTTTTTTTTACTGAATAAGTGCAGAAATAGCATTCCTTTATAATGAAGTAATTATCATAATAAATATTTTGTAAACTTTTAGTTCATTTATGATGTTTGTCGCTAACTCCAGAAGTTTGTTATTGATTTTGAAACTGCTTCCTAATAAGCTATCGAACACAAAACCATATAGTGGAGATTTTCTGTAATTTTTTAAAATTTGATATAGGTTTTTTTAAAAAAACAAATTATTTCATTTGAAACGAGTTTTCGCATATATCTTCTTTGATTAAAGAGCAAATTAAAAGTCACAGAATTTTAATGCTTGCCATATCAGAAAAAAATTCTTTTAAATAAATTTTGTATGAAATTTTTAACGAAACTTTCGATTTTTTGGCGAATTTTAAAATAAGGCTAAATTTTTCAATTATTTGTAGTCTAATTTCAACATAAAAAATATATCAGTTACAAAGTTTTGAAATTTTTACAAATTTTAAAACATATTCCTCACTTTCTTTTAAAACAAGAATGACAAAAAAGACAATTGAGAGATTTTTCGAAATAAATAAATAGAAGAAATGCTGAAGAATGAAGCAGCCTTAGGCATCGCTTCGAAATACGCTTTTAAAGTTTTATGAAATAGTATTTTTCTTTCATCCCAATAAACTCACTTCCCTTGCTGCAAAACCACCTGCAAACATTAAGCATACTAAAGAAACCTTTTGTCATTTTAAAAGTGATATTTCTCTCCCCACTTTTTTAAAAATAGATTTTGTATTTATAATTCATTTCATTCATTATTGATCTAAACTACAACAGTCTCTCACGATTAAATAGCATTTAAAATTATTTACAATGAAATCTGTCGCATCATTCTTAATTTCTTCTGCTTCATAAATTTATGTAATTTTTTTCTCCTTATTTCTATTTCTATTTTTCTATTATTTTTAGCCGAAGGAGGCAATTTGCACAGAAGGCCTATTAATTTCGTTTTGCTATTTTGCGTTGGTTCACTATAAACAGCGCTTCAAATTGTTGCCACCAAATATTACAGTCCTGCATTATATTTAAAGAAATTAAATAATGAAGAATCTGCAGTGTTTTTCAGTAACTCTTAAAAAAGCACTGAAAATAAATCAAAACTGTGCAACTTCATATAGAAAACGAAACAGACATAAGAAATATTATTTAATCACTTAATCAAACGTTTAACTTTGCGGTCCATATGGTATTCAAAAATTCTTCCAAAGTTTGGCTTTAATAATCCACAAATAATTTGCATGGAAAACCATGATTCTGAAGAAAACGAATGCTCTCTGAACCTACGGTTTTGAAGAATAACGTTTGAAGAGAATTTACGGTAGAAGTACGGAAGAATTTACGGTTTGAAGAGCAATACATTTTGAAGAGAACTTATGGTTCTGAAGACTATACTTGAGGTAGGCTGTTAAATTATATGACCATGGTACATTTTTATTAAAATAGACAAAGAATTCTGTAACGCGGCACGTAATTTGTAGAGTTAGAAATACCATTCATTAACTGCAGTATTGATTTAAAAGTTTATAAAAATTATAGGCTGTAAATGTTAAAATTAAATTTGTTTTGAATTCAATCAATAAAACAAACTTGTAAGGTTAAACTTAAATATCTCTCACTTGACTTCCATTTCACTAAGGACGACTTATCGTTCTCACATTGAATTAAAAGTCTAGAATTCTGAGAAATGCAAAATAAAACTAAACTTAAAAGCTCATTTGCATTACTACTCGTTGGCGGAACTAAATATGTAATGAAACTTTTCACCGCTTTTTACAAAGTCTGGAATTACAAAGTACTTAAATATGTACAACACAATAAATACTTTTAATGTATATCATTCCAGTTCTAAATAAATCGCGATTTCTAATCATACATCCCGAAAATTACCAGAAAACATTCACCAAGCCAACATTCCTATAGTCTAAGATACAATAACACGCCGAAAAAGTATTAATTTAGAAGTCAAACACCAAAAATCAGCGTTATTTAAAAATATAACTCTGATTTTTGTTGTTTGACTTCTAAATTAATTAATGTAGTCTGTTAATTTAAAGTAGGCCCTTCAAGGTCGTAGCAATCCTCCCCAAACTTATGATCGTAAGTGTATCGTCATCACTGCACGGATGAACAGAGAATTTTAGCAAATTAGAGAATTCGATGTTTTCCCGCACCAAATCATGGTTTTAAGAAAGTGCTTTGGTGAAACAGCGCCTTTGAAGTACCTATTCTAAGGTAACTCACTATAACGTGTGGGTGATGCATGAGAGAAGCACCTTACTTAGATCTCTGCCGAACTCTGTCTCATAATTTACACATTCGCTCGCTTTTAAAATCCCGCGTACATTTAATTTGCATTCTGGTAAGGCTTACCGAAGAAATAAAAATAACACGAGAGAATTAACAAAACATTACATGTTAATCAAAATAAATTTCACATACTATTAATTACATAAAATGCAGACTTTTTAAGAAATGCGTTTATTATTTTAAAAATGCTCAATATAATTAAAATTAAAAAAATAAAAGGCAGGAATCTAGAAATTGGTTGTTTACTAATCCAAATGGAAAATAAAGTCAAGATTGTACATTTCCTGCAAAGGACAGTACTTAGCGTATTTTTTATTCAAAGTAAATAATAAAAGACATGGTTGTGTAATGAAGCCTAGGATTTGTAGATTCAGCTAGTTTTTAAAGTTAAAGGGAAAGGGAACAACAACAACAACAAAAAAAAACATATATATATATATATATAGTTATACAAAATATATAGTTTTGTTTATATAGTTATACAATATATATATATATATATATATATATAGTTATACAAAATATATAGTTTTGTTTATATATATATATATATAAACAAAACTTTCAAAAATGTTTAAAAAATTTATTTAAATTAAAAAAATATTAGTTTATGATATATTGCTACGATTACCAAAGCATTGCTTCAGTTAAGAAATTATTATCGCGCGGGATAAGCATATTAACCATTATTCAACCCGAAATTGGGAATGGTTGAAGAGTACTAATACCTCTAAGCTAACCCTGTCGCTACATAAATACTTGTTAATCTTTTAGAATCAAACAGCTTGCCTATTGTAATGCCCCATTAAAAACGTGCTACAGCATCAGCTTTCATACCACAATACTATGCTCCCATTGCTCCAAAGAAAAGATGGATTTAGCAGGACAAGGCCATTAGATGGGGCCCGGAATCGTAGGTAGGCCCTGTAAGCGATTAAAGATCACAAGGCCGCTGATTTGGCTACAATAAACTGCGTGCGAGGGAAGGATGGAATGATAACACATATAAAATCGAAAAAAAGAATGCAGGAAGCAGGGAACAAAAAGCTGCAACTGGAAGCACAATGACCGAGTAGGGAAGGTGGACCAAACAGCAGAAACATCCCGCTATTGAGATAGTGCATGTTCCAGCCACCCTTTCGGACGATTCTCCGGCATGGAATGAGTAGCTAATGCTACTGATGTCGTCGGGATGGTGTGTTTTTCACCCGCAGTTTTGTTTCGAGTTTAAAGTCCGAAAATTCTGTTCCTGATGCTGCGCTTAAATTCCGTGCTTAGAAGAAACCAGGTGAGTTATAAAAAATTAAATGTTTAAGTTTTTCAATTTCACGCCTTATGAGTGCCCTTTTTGAGTGTTTATACAATCATTACATGAGCCAATTAACAAAGTAATTAAAATAACATGCCATTTTAATAAATTTGCCTACGATGAATAATTTAGATGAAGTGATTTGTTCAATTTTATCATTACAAATTTTAAACAAAGTCAAAAAGTTTGCGGAGTATGAAACGGCAAATCTCCATTTCCCACCCTCCCCTTTTGAAACAAAAGCTGCTAAAAATCAATAAGAAAACATATCTTTCCATTGCATCAATAACTGTTTTTTCTTGCACGAGTACTAAAAACTTACATTAATGAAATTAAAAGTAAGTACAATATCGCGTATAATTTTCTGAAGATTGAAAAATCATATCGCGAATACTTTTTAAGTTTTATTTAATGCTTTTTAAATTTTAATTTAAAAAATAAATCAAAACAGTTCAACAATATGGAATTAAAATATATAATTTTATATATTATATATATTATATATATATATATTCCTTTACGAAAGCACCGTTAGAAAGGAACTCTTGTAATGTTCTTTCATAGAAGAAAATACATTTTCTTTCCCTAAATTTAAGAAAAAATTTTCAAATTTACATTAATAGCTTTATAAATGAAAATTTCCCAAGATATTCACTTACCAGATGATTTTCGCCATCATCGTTAATCATTATTTTAAAGGCTAACATCATTCACAGTTCAAGATGATGTTTCACGTTCTGTAGATGCGATCAGCTCAGAAAACATAGATATAGGGTTGGGTTGGGTTATTCAATTATGGCAAGCACACGAGGGCTATCTGCCTAGAGGGAGGGATGCCTTCGTGGAGGACTTTTTAAGGGAAACTGGCTCGTATACACGTTACACATGGGGAAAACCACAAAAACGCCCATGCAGTCAGCCCGTTTGCGGGATTCGAACCTCAGACCGAACTACCAGTGTTCAGCGTCTTTACCGCTCGGCCGCTGGTGGGCCATAGATATAGGTGATGTTCAGTTTGATTACTATTGCCTCGAAAATGTGTTATTGCTTTTAGTTTCAATAAAATCGTCCTCGGCATTACTATACGTTGTTGCCAATCAAAAATACGTAAAAACATATTATTTATCGTCGATATTATAAAAGTGAGTTACGTCTTACAGTATTATATTAATAATTTAAAATCCTATTCATTTTATATGAATTTCCTGACAACATCCTGCAGTAACTGTTATTTTACATTGTGAATATCCCAAGCAAAATGATTTTCTAATATCCCATAGTAAGTCGATTGAAAAATTTCTAATTCTACTACTTTAGTACATTGTGATTTGCGTCAAAAATAAAATCTAATGATTATAAATAAGTTTTACGGGAGAATAAGTTAAATATAAACTTTTTTCCCATTTTTATTTTAACTTTTTTAATAGTTTGGTAGTTTCCGGTTTATACTAATTTACGTTTTAGTAAAGATTTAACTGATTTAACTGATGAGTAGAAAGGCTGCATATTATTTTTGTTTAAGAAGAGAATCGAAATGTTTCTATTCTTTGTTTCTATTTTTATTTTTAATTTAAATTTATCAAAACGTTTAATAGCAAACTCTTTTTGCAGTATTCTGAATTTTCTGAAATTCTGAATTTCTGAGTATTCTGAAATTTATATTCTTGGGATATATTTACTAGAAATATTCTGTAACATATTTACTCGAAAGTATTATTTTTATTATATATGACTTTTTAATGCCTGTAATAAATATAAATTCTTAATTTGAAATTTAATAACTTTTACGTTAAGTTTACTTTTTAATTCTAATGTACTGTTATAAAGAATCGTTTTTTCCTTTCTTTTTTCAATGAGTCTTTTGTCTAAAAAGCATATTTAGGAAACAAGAGAAGAAACTGTCTTGCTGCCATTTTTTAACAAACAGCAAAGTTCTTGATACACTTGAAAACTGAAAATTTTGAAAAATCCCAACTCTTTAACTGATTATCTCGTTGACTGTATCTGATTTCTGACTCTACAAATAAGCATCATTCAAAGGGAATACCTGTACTTCGTGTAATCATTGACTAAATTAAATCATTTTGACTAAATATAAAATTAAATAATAATAATAATAAATCTGAAAAGTTTGAGATTTTAGCGGTCGCCCGAAAGGATGTGTTAAGGTTTTTACACTGTCGCTGAGCTCGCAGTCTACCACTCTGCTATTACACTCACTCCTGCTAATCCCCTTTTTTTTTTAGCCCAAAGCGGCGTTAGCTCAGAAGGGCTTAGCCTCGAATCATTATAAACGGAAGTATTACTTTTCAAATTGTTGTCACCAAATATTCTCGCCGTGTATTACATTTAAAGAAGTTAAATAATGAAGATTATGTATGAATGTATGTATGTTTCTCGTAATGTGGGAAAAAAAAAAAAAAAAAAAAAAAAAAAAAAAAAAGAAAGATACCTAGAGCCACCAAATTTTGAACAACGAAATCCTTCATCCGAATATGGACACCTGGAGCTCGAATCTCGAATTTGTTTTATTTTACATTTTTTAAACTTTGACGAATTTTGGATTAAAAAACTCAACCATTTGAAAGCCAGGATAGGCAGCACAATGCACTGAAATTTTTTTTTTATCTCCAGCGCTCGAGACTTATCGGAAATTCTTTCTGTTGAAAAATATTTTTAACGTAAAGGGATATAAGCGAAATGCTCTCGAAACGTAGATTTATGTGTAAATCGTCGAAAAAAAAAAAAAAAAAAAAAAAAAAAAAAACCTTTGGCCTAATATAAAATCTGGAAACTTTCAGATTTTTTTTTTTTTTCTTTTTAGCTTTAAGTATCATTTTCTTCGCACTTATGCCATATAGAATTCAACTGCAAAATTACAAAAATTTTAAAAGCAGCATAGCAGTGTGTGTTTTGCAATACACGTTTTTTTTTCAGTCATTTCTCAGTTCATCATCATATAAATGCTCAGTTTTCTCATTATTAACATTTTGTGGATTTACTTTATTTATTTATTAAATATCAAGTTTTTGACGCTTACGCCACATAAAATAGATTCAACAGCAATATTTAGAAACAGCATGTATTTAGATTTTCCGATAGACAATTCTCGCTCGCTGAAGATAAAAATGTTTTTATTACGCACAGTGTTGCCACTGCTCGCTTCGAAATCGTTGAGTTTCTTAATAAAAAATTCGTTAAAGTTTAAAAAATATAAAATAGATAATAAAACAATTTCGAAGTTCAAAATTCTGGCTTCCAGGTGCCCAGCCTCTAGGTACCGTTGTTTTTTCACAAAGCGAGAACAATAGATACATTCATGTAGATTCTTCATTATTTAATTTCTTTAAATATAACACAGTAAAATATTTGGTGGCAACAATTTGAAAAGTGGTTCGCCGTTTATAGTGATTCGACGCAAAATGTCGTTTCGAGACTAATATCCCATTCGGGATTAACGTCCTTTTTGAGCTAAAAAGTCTGTAAGGTTCAAGTTTTAAAAGGCGCCCAAAAGAACTTTTATAAAATTTGAAATTGTTATCAGTAGATGTAACCCAGGTGGAATAGCGAAACGTTTTATAGGATACTAAATGAATGTGTATTTAAATGGACTGGGGAACATTATATATCTTCTGCATATTTGAAAAGTGAAAAAAATATAATATAATTCTACAAAAATATTTATTGTCTAATTAGCTATGTTATGCATTAATTGCATTTTTATGTAAATTAATCCGATAAAAAAGTTTAAAAAATTTCGTATGAACTGCATTTATAGCCTTTTAAATAACTTAGATTTTATTTTAGAAATCAAAAAACAAAAGTCAGCGTTATATTTGCAAATTTCCCAGAACTAGTTTCGAAGTCATATAAACCGAACCATCTTCCTCAGCTGCCAAAGTGCAAATGAAATATAACGCTGATTTTTGTTGTTTGACTTCTAAAATAATCGTTGTTCGGAATTTCATTTTAACCTAAACTTAGTTTTTATTCAATTAGCGCACAGATAAGATCTGAAAGGTAAAAACTTAAAGCTTTCAGATTTTATATGACGCCCAAAGAGTTATTTTTTAAAGCTTTGTGTGTTACCCTTTTTTATTAATTACCATGTTCCTCACACCTAAACCACATAAAATTCAATTCAACAGCAATATCACAAAATATTTTAAAAGAGCGTATCTTTAGAATTTCCGATAGACAGTCTCGTGCGTTGGAGATAAAAGTGTTTTTTTCGGTATGGTGTTGCCATTGCTCACTTTGAAATCATTGAGTCTGTTAATAAAACATTCTTTAAAGTTTTATAAGATCTGAAATAGGTAATAAAACGAATTCGAAATTCGGTATTCGGACTTCAAGGTGCAAAAATTCCGGATGAATGATTCTGTTAATCAAAATTTAACTGCTCTCGGTACCTGGAGCCATCAATTGCGATTTTTGTGCAAAAATCGCTTTGTGATTTTTTTGCGACCCAATGCCACATCAAATTTTTCATAATGCGGAAAAAATTCATACATTCATGCAAATTCTTTATCATTTAATTTCTTTAAATATAATACACGGCGGTAATATTTGGTGGCAACGATTTAAAAAGATATTCGCCGTTTATAGTTAAACGCCAGAAAATACCGTTTAGAGACTAAAAGGCCCTTCTGGATTACCGCCTTCCTGGGAAAATAAATACCTTACCTTTTGCCTAATGAAAAGAAAATCGAATGGAAACTGAAATCACATAATATCATGTTTCAATTAACAGCTTCTTTGGATTAAAGGGCGACAATAAGAAATGGTAGAATAGAATTAAAATTACAAATTTCATAGTAGGCGTGTTACAGGATGTTTTATTCCACTCAAGACGTAAAATAATGTGCTACAAAATAACATTAAGAAATACAGCTAACATTGCTTTTTAAATTAGGCGTCGTAAAGCAACATTCTCTTCCTTTATCCCATGCAACGATCCGCTTTGCCGCCTTTCACAA